ACTGTTAGCTCTCTCCCTGACTCTGCTTTGGACTGCTCCAACCAGCTCTCTAAAAACAAGACTAATCTCCTATATAGGAAACTAGCTCTAAACAACATGAATGTGAGCCAGACTGCTGCCTGGCTTAATCCCTAGCCCTCTTTTATTTAGTGATTTAACAGTTTAGATATAGGCGTCATCCCCCAAGGTTGAATTTTGGGAGAGGTAGTGTTTCAGCTACTGCGGAATCAGCTCTGACCTGCATGCCTCCGATAGCTGCTTGAAAGGTGACATTTCTGTGATAAACAACAAAGAAACAGCTTGTGCCTGGGAATTGTGCCAAAGTACCCAAAGCAAATGTCAGAGCTGCAGCCTATTCCCACCACAGGGAGGGTGAGTGTGTGCTCTCCTGATCACAGCAGCTGGAAGGTGTCCAGCAGGGATAGTACTACCAATACCAGATTACTAACCGCTCACAAAGTGATTGCTGTGCTAAATTCAAATTAAGGAGTCAGCCTGAGAAATACAAGTTGTCCTTCCGCAGTTGGTATCAGGGCCAGCACGGGCAGTATGGTACCCAAGTGATGATGTGTGCCCTGCTCTGGTGCGCACAGACACCAAGCACATGCACACCAGCACTGCCCACGCTGCATGTGAGTGCAACAAAGGAGTCCCAACTGCCATCAAAAACAGTATTAAAAATGTATATGTCCAGAAGGCTCTATTTACATAGGCATCCTTGACATCTTCTAATTTCTTGAGGCTAGCTTTGTTGCCCTCATAATCTTATTTTGAAGAGGGTTTTGTGTGTCACTGATGTAGATTTAGATGTGTGCTACAGAGGTTATTATAGTCCACCATTTTATAAAGGTAAAATTATTAAGGTAAGCAACTCTGATAATATAATAATAATAATAACCTCAATAATATCAATTTTTGCTATAATTTTAATATTTCAATGTGCATTAAAAACATAAAATTACTTTTAGCCCTAATACTTACGGGGTGGGAAAATGACAACAATGCTAGAAACTCAGAATAATAACCTTGTTTAAAAATATGTGTATTCTTTAATGCTATTGCCATTATTTAATATTTGAAGCTGGTAGTATTTAATTTACCAGTCTGTTGCACTCACTGGTAACCTAATCTGTTGCTGTAAGGCAGATTCTTGTCTTACAAACAGAGAGACTGACCTTTGGGCAGTAGCCTCAGCTGCCTTATTCTGTACTCAGTAGCCATATCCTGTATACAACCCTCAAACTCAACAGAAATATTCTGCATTCCTATGCAAGAAAAATGTTCTACTCTGCATCTACACACTCTGCACTCATAAGCATTTATCATTCATCCATGCTCTGTTCCAATATTCAAACTAATAATGTTCTAACAAATTTTAAACGGTAAATTTATCCATTAAATTGGTTTTCTTTACAAATCTAAATTCAGATAGGTACAGATTTTTTTTTTTTTCCAATATCAAATAATACATACTGACACTTAAAACTATAATTTATTCCCTGTCTGGAAACAATGCAATAACCTACTGCTACATTTTGCTTGTGATAAGATTGTTGTATTGTTGCAAGTATCTAACTCTGATGCCTCTGTAGGATTCCCTCTGTGCAGCTTTATGCTTTCTAAAAGTAAGGCATCAACTCCATGCTCACTTCATGATTACCAGGGAGACCTAGAAGACCAGTGGGCAGTTGACCCATCCTTTGACCCCTTTAGTTTGGATTCCTCCTGCAGAATTTTAAAATGTTTAAATTAGACCTCTAACATATGCTACTTGCCCACGACCTCTACAAGCGAGAAGGGTCATCCCCCCTATTTTAAATGCAGACCCCTAGAATTGCCTGATTTGTTTTCTAGTGGTGATTCTTCACATTAAACAAGACAAAACTTGGACTTTGTCCTTAAGCTTAGTTGGCTAAATTTAGTTGAGAAGAACTCCATCTAAATAAAAATGTGTTTGCCATTACTGAGGTATCTCCACAAACCAGGTTTTGATTATAATGTGTGGATATAATGTCTCTCACAGGCTTAGCTCATTCAGATTGATGTATCTTTCTCCAATAATTTCTAATATAAATTACTGTGGAAGATGGAGCAATAAGCTTTTTCTAATCCCCTTAATTTACAACTTGAGATTTGTAACAAGAACCTCACAGTGCCTTTATTCTTTACAAATTTCCTCCTGTGCAGATACAAATTTAATTTTCTCACTATAAATTTAAAACCTCAGTATTTCCTTCTTTTGTTTTTCCCCAGGTAAAGTAAATTAGTACCATCTCTGTTGCTGCAATTCTTACAAATAGCCAAATGTGGTGGGTTTTTTTTCCGTTTTGTGTATTTGTAAACATAGAACTGTATATGTGTAGAGCTCAGGTCCTTCCTGAGTCTGATGCCACTCTGAAATAGTAAAACAATTTCTTCATATCACAACTCAATTTTTTTTTTGTAACATAATATGCAAATGGCATGTATGTAATGTCTATAGCATAAAATAGTTCAAAAATTAAATCTGTAATTTGTACAACTAATCCAATTTTATTCATGTGAGAAGCTTCTCCATACCTGTAGATACTTGTTAAAGAGGAAAAACTAGCAGTCCCTATGACTCATGGAATGCAATATTATTTATATATTGGATGGGGTTTAGTCGCAAGTAATGCAGCAGCAGTGCTAGCAAACTACTCAATGATAATGGTTCAGAACAAGTTTTTTTAAATTTTTGCGACCAGTCATTAAAGGATCATTGCTTATTAGACAAGCTACAAGACAAAAAGAGGCTATTTTTCTGTTCGGATACATTCCTGGAAGGATAGAAATCCACTTAAGAACTGAAAAGGACACCAAACTAAAAACCAAATTGACTTTTTTATAGTCTTCCAGTAGAAGATACAGATTTATCACTATAGCAAGTTTTTAAAGTGAGACTTCTTAAAAAAATATGCCACAAATATGTGTTAGAAGAGTGTGAAAATGTAACGGATGGAGTCCAGAACTTATGTTAATGTCTGTCTCAGGGCACATTAATGTTTTTGGCTAAAAAGTAACTATTCCCAGATAAATATATTTTAATTTAGGAGACTATCCAAATAATGTATTGAGTAAGGTTATTCCCATTCTGCCATACTATTTTTTCCCAAAATAGTAACAATGCTCATATTAGTCTATAATTAATTACTCAAAATGGAATTATAAATACGTTATGCACATGAATTCATATTAAGGCTAAAAGATGTTTCAAAATTATCGTTATAAGACAGGAACTTTAAAAACACGCCAATGGTTTCACTACCAAAAGAAATATCCCCAGATATCTAATAAATCCCTCTTATAAAGCACTTTAAACGATTTATTTGTTTTCCACAAACAGAATAATGTGAAAGATTTATCTCCTAAACACTGGAAAATTATCTATAATGATAATAAGCTATCTCCACATTGAGTTACTCATTAACACTACAAAGGGAAGATATTTTGGCCTGTATATAACTGCTAATTTTAGTGAGGAAGAGTGCAACGTTACTTCATTTGTCTTTCTCTGTGCATACCCATAGTGCTTGTACAGACACTAGCACACCTGCTCCCTACCTTCTCACTGAAAACTCCTGAAATAGCAAGAGTTTCACTATCAGGAGTAACACAATCATCATGTGGGACATGAAGGGAGATACAGTTCAACAAAAGTTCCAGCAAAAAGGATCACTTCACAAAAGAGCAATCTGACACCTTAGAACCCTTCAAAAAGGAAAGAAACCTTTTTTTTTTCCATTAGCCACTTTCAATTACAAACTTTATATGCACAGGTCTGTTTCAAAAAGAGGAATATCTAACTTCACAACAAAAAAAGGTATTTCAAGTCGTCCAGAGTTAGTGTTGGAAACATATGTGTTACACATACACAAGCAAAGGCAAGTTCTTTTCCAGTCCATTCAAGTCAGTTCTTTCAAGTCCTTTTCAATAAAAAGAGGATTAAGATTTCACACTACTAGAAATGTACAGCCATAGTATAACTATAATATTGCAGTATAAAGCCTGAATTTATAAGCCATGAAGAAAATAAGAAATAGTAGCCCCAGCTCAAAACCGTGTCACTGCTATTACCTTACTTCTGAATAAGAGTTTTCTTGCCCTACTGAAGTCTGAACACAGGCAGAGTGAGTGCATACTGTCGTACCACATGAGGATCCAGAGGGATCAGTGAGAGTAGTAGAACTGTAGCAGAACTACAGAAAAGCACAGCATAAGATGGGATGAGAAAACTAAGTCTACAGTACATGTAGCATGCCACTGACACCTCACTTGTTAACAAACTTTTGGTTCAGTATATTTTTTTAGAAAATTTTTCACTGTAAATGTACACTATGAGAAATTAGTGAGGATGCACTTCAGGCCATACATATATAAACCAATTACTTAATCTATTATGAACATATGCTGAGTTTTCACACTTTGTAAAAGAGCAGATACAGGGTATCTCAATATGAGAAATCTGTATCCCAGCAAAACTAATTAGCCTCAAAGACATTTATTTTTACTATTATTCTTACTAAATTTTTACTATCTTCTTGCTATAAAGTGTATTCTTTAATTCTGAAGTCTGAGCTAAGATGCATCACAGAGGTTTCTGGACATCCTTTCACAGATATACAGCAAAAAGTTAGGTAAAAATAAACTTTGACATCAGACTACAAGAAAATAACAGACAAAAGTGTTTATTTTATCTTCCTTTCAAATGTCAGTGCAAATTTAATTTTTGCTGGAGACAAATTGATGTTGATGGTACATTGATTTTAATGAGCTGTATGGGTTGACAGCTTTTCAACGTTTATCCTCAACGATAAATACTCAATGATCTCTTGTCATTTGAGATGTCATCTAATCTACACAAATGTGAAAGTTTTGCACAATAAAATCAGAATAGTCACTCTGACTTCAAAGTATTTGTTATTGGTACAGAAGACTATCATAAATAAAAGAGAAGCAGGTGAAAAAAAATCATGCTTTACCTGTCCATACTTTGCAGCTAAATGTAGGGGTGTCCAGTACTGATTATCCACTACATTGAGATCAGCCCCATGATCCAGTATCAGAGATGCAACATTCTTGTATCCATTAGCACAGGCCACATGCAGCTGCAATATAAAAATTAAATGTTGCTTTAAATAACTCAGAAAAATCCACAGAGTGTTATTAAACATCTTGACTAAATCATTATAACAATGAATACAAAATACACATGTGCTAACTACAGACTAAAAAACCATTGTGTAATCTTTTTTAGCATTATAAATTATAAGACCCACCAAAAAATGAGAATGTTAGCTTATTGAGAACTACTAAACAATCTAGTCTGCTTGCCCTTTTTCATAGAATTTCAAGCAAAAATCCTTTCAAAGATGTTCAAAAACTTCATGAACCCAGGAAGAATCATACATTTCAACAGAACCTGAGCTCTCTTAGAGCCTAGACCTTTTGTGACAGTTCAAATATCTCAGATGTAAGTTGACACTACTTTACTCCAAAATGAATTCATTAACACATAATCAAACCGGGCATATTGAGACTGCAGCACAAAATTAATCACAGAAAACACTTTCTCAGTTTTGAATCACAGATACTTTATTTCCTATAGTTGCATTTCTTCCTTAGATACTTAATCGTTTTAATTGGTAATTATTTAAATAATTTTAGTTGAATTTCTGTATCTGTAAACTTAATTTCAGAGTCAAAGTGTAACAGAAGGAGGGTAGAAAAAAGTAACAGACTGAGAGAAACTCAGGTCAGAACGAACTTCAGGAGGTCAAGTAGCACAACTTGCTGCTAAAGCAGGGACAACTTCAAAGGTATCTGTGTTTGCTCATGGCTTGTCACTCCAAGTAGCAAATACAGTATGAGTGATAAGGCACTGAACACTGAAGTGGTTAGAAGGGGAAAAAAGAAATTCAAAAATATCTTTTTTAATGGTTGATTTGAGAAGCTAGACATTATTTTTTGCAATGTATTATTATTTAGGGCTCTACATATGTTTGGAATTTATATCAGCAATCAATTCCACTATCAATGCTGTCTATAGAATGAGGGTTTTTTTATACAAAAAGACATTTTATTTTTTATTTAATTATTACAAATAGCAAGTATGTAAAATACATATAAAAGCAATATAATACCAGGCAGGTCTTGTGAAGAGAGAAATAGGGAAAGACAAATAGTAGGTCAATACAAATAATTTTCTGTGGTAATAATCAAGTAAAAGAGGAAAATGCAAAAAATAATCCTATATCAGGGAAAAATTGTGATTTGCAGTTTTGGTGGAAATCATTTCTTATGTATGGTGAATAACTGCTGAGGCACATACTTCATGTGATGAGACTGATCCAGGTTACTTTGTCATGATTCTCTGCTATCATTTCAAACATTCCCTCCACTTCTGGGAGCAAAGGGGACAACATTTGAATTTGGAATTTGGCACAATATAATTGCTCATCCTGAGTCAGAAGGACTCGATACTCAATGGTCAGTAAGAATAGGGCATAAGAAAATTATAGAAATTGAGAACTGAGATACAGTGGTAATATGTATCCACAAATCACACAGCCCAACTACATGACTTTTTCTTCTTGAAGTATTTATAGCTGAAGATATTATCTTACTGATGACTGAAATGCAAAAACCTGTTACTGCAACTGTGTAGTTCCAAAGTCGCTATAAGCATAGGAGACACCAATATCAGAGTCCAGGATATTATTTGTCTTACCTACTATTTCTGGTTTATCTGCACAAGCAGAGTATGGATAAAGATTTGAGTGGGAACATGCTTGATGCAGAGGGATGAAACACAGTACAACTCATCCAAAATCTTCCCCTGGCAAGGGGACAGAATATCCCCTCCCTGGGGCAGAACACCAATTCTGCATGCTATCAATACTCTGATTTCCAATGTACAAAACCCTCAAAATTTTCCTATGATTTGACATAAAACTGTAGGGGAGGGGGTGTCTTAACAGAAGAAATTACATTTTCTATTCAGGCATCAATTTGACAAGTGCTATTTTAAAGCAATTTAAAAGTTCATAGGACAAAGGAAATATTTTATCACTGAAAATAGAAAAACTATTACAGGAGAATTTTACAAAAAAATTAATTTTAACAAATATTCTGTGTCTGTATTGCATGTGTACATAGACAGGTGCTCTGAATCTATGAGAATGTGTGTATTTCTATATTTATGACAATACTTTGTTTGATTAAACTTACTAACTTACACATGGATTTAGACTTATATTCTGTCAAGAGAAAACAAATCTGATCTGGGACTTACAACCGAGATATTTGTCTTCTTTGTACAGACAGATGTAGAGCAACAAAACACTATTCCCAGAACCCTTTGATACACATACAACTATCACAGACTGACTGACTCCACACCCATGAACAGAGAGAGAGCAGTTTCACAAATCCTAGACTTCCCACCAGTTTGTCAAACAAAGGTTTTGCATAATAGAAATCTCAAGTAAAAGCAAATTTATCTGCTTGTTAACTACTTCTTGAAAAAATCAAAATTCAGCATAAAAACTGTTCATGCAAAAAATATCCCTAGTTAACATTTCATTAAACAAACAACAAAAAATAAACTCTTCATAATATTTTTCTCCCAGTATTTGCAGTACTGTTAAACCCATTTCAGACATGCACTTCAACTGTTCCAGTTAACTACAGAAAATATTTTATACAGTAACATTTACCCAAGTTCATAACTCAGATTAACTGTGTTAGCCAATTCAGACTAAAGCAGCAATAAAAGTTAATTATAATAGGAATGTGTTTAAGCAGCTTAGCTTAAATGTATCAGAAAACTGGAAGTCAAATTAATACATTAGGAATTAAATTAAACTTGTGCTGTTTTTTCCCATCTCTTCCCTGCTTTCTTCCTGTTTTTAAATACAGTTAACTGCCTTGGCAATCGTGTTGAAGATTTTATATGTAAAGAGCACATTCCACAGACATGCTATCTATGGAAAAAATATACTAATTTCAAAATTATTTCACAGCTGAAGAAATAGAAATCCTGACAAAACAAAGGGATGGAAGATCTATTAGCAGAAAACCAACATAATGAAACCCAGCAACTACAAATAATAGGTAAACTTGGGAGCAGGAGTGCTTATCCACTTATATGGTGGATGCTTCATTACACTGAATCAATATGGGATAGCTTCATGAAACAGTGTTTTAGCCTGGCTCAGCCAGAAGATATTACCCAAAATAAGAATCCCTGAGTTATGTTTCAGCTTCTCTCTCTCACAGAATGTCAGAGATCACAAGTATCTGCTGAGCATTGAACTACAGTGTTAATACTTTTTGCTATCAATTTTTATGTTGCATATGTTATATTTAGTGGCTAGAAAGTTGTCATTAAAATGTTGCACTAGCCTATTTCAAAATCTATACTATGCAGGGAATTGACACACAGGTATTTTCAAAAGGCCAAATGAAAACCAAAATCTTGGTTCATTTTGCTTTTTAAAAGAATTGCCTTGCAAACATGCTCACCAGAATACTTGCAGTACATGTATATTCAATAGGTGAAGATTACATATTCCCACTCACCAGGGTAACTCCTTCATCATTCTTTTGATTCACGCTTCCTCCACTTGATATGAGCTGTTGGACATCTGTAAGCATTGTCATAGGTCTCTGTATCTTCATTTGGCGCAATGAATTCAGCTCTACACCTGGAAAAAGAAAAGGATAAAACCTTCTGCTACTTCATTCATCAATAAAGACCAGATATATGATTTTATGTTCTGTCAGCAATACAAAATAAACTGCCCTGATCTCCCAGTGCCTGCAAGAGCAGTGGTAGGTAAAGTAGTTGCAATATCATTAAACTCACTAGGATTGTGAAATAACTGTAAATGGGAAAAGAATCAAACAATCTAAGGAAGCCGCTCAAGTGTTTGGTACTTACTTAATTAAAATTATTTTTGGTTGCATTCTTTCAGCCCTGTGTATACATCACAGTACCCAGACCAGTCCCTCAAATCTGTTGGCTCAACTGCTTAAGAGATTGTGAAGTGAAGCAAATGACAGTAAAACTCAACACTTTTTTATGTGCCTGGGTTATTTTTAACTGGGATTAGTTCTCCAGCTGAGCCTAGACCATTGCAAGGCCCCATAAACCAAGAGAAAATGTGGTGTGGAGGCAGGAACAAATGGGAGAGGATGAAAGGAATTAAGGTTATGATATTGCTTATGTCAGCATTGCTACTGAAAGAAACAGTTGTCAAAGAACAGTATTTAAAAGAAGATAAGCAAGGCAGTCTATAACCAAAAGTATGGTCTCCAGTTTGAAGAGGTTTAAAATTAGAAACAGGATACAACAAAAATGCTAAGTGGGTAAAATAGAAACTGGCTGTGGTTTTATTGGAATATCTATCCAAAATTCAGGGCTTCATTCTTCTGCTTCTATCTCCACGTGATCAATTAAATGCATTTATAGAAAATCTGAGGATAAAAATTCTTCCTCTCTGCCCTGGCCATGACATAAAAAAAACCCCCACAACATTTATATAAATGATTTCTTTGTTCTCTTCCACATTTGTCAGTGAGCTGAAAAGTGACAAACTGTAAGTTTATTTAATTAATATATATTTAACTTCACATTTTATCTTTAACAGTTCTTGAAGTTCTTTACATTAATAAAACAATTGACATATTTTTCAGCGTAAAATCATATTTTACGTTTCTTAGTTTTAATCCACCCTGGAATTTGTATAAATGAGTGTACTATATGTAGTTCATCAAAAAATCCCAACAGTTTTCTAACATGCTACTGTACACACTTCCTTATCTTCTGCTGCCTGCAACACTTGTAAGCATTTGTTTCAGCTCTGAAGTGAAATGTTCAGGGTAAGCAGACTTCCTAGCCACATTCACTTATTCTCCTATTTTCAAATAACACTGAATGTAAACCACAAATCTGAACATAAGATGAAGAAAATTACATTTTTTCTGTATCTGGATTAACCCTGTGATCTTTCACATAAATGTAATTTAGACACACACAAACACACACATATATATATTTATATGATACTGATAGATGAAATTAGACAACCACCTCAAAGCAGAAATGTGCTGACATCCTATTGCCTGACAGTTGCTGGACTAAAACACAATGTGAATTTCATAGGATGTTCTCAGTGGCTCCTAACAATCAATGTATTTATTTCATCAGAACCAAAGCTTTTATGCCTTCATCACATTTCAGAGTAATGATTTTAAACTACCTGATGACATTTACAGATTACTGATGCCACATGGCACCAATTAAATCTCTTTTTTTCTTTCTGTTTCTGCCTATTTCCTGATTCTTGCAACAGTAAACTCATGGTTTAACATTATTGTCCCAGTGACAGAACTCTCTCAAATACCAAAGTTTATATTTACAAAACACCATGTGGTATAAAGGGCAATATACATCCAAAATTAGTTATGGTTTGCAGTGCTGACTTAACATTTGAAACATACAACCCTGACAGACTGCGAAGCCAAAATGAAACTTCACTCATCATGATAAAGCTTTTTCTAATGTTGTCAGGTAAGAAAGATAAAGTTAAAAAATATATGTAGCATTTTATACCTGAAGAGGGCATCTGTTCTTAAGTACTGCTGACAGAACTCATGTTAGTTTTTTATTTCTCTTGGTATGTCTGGTAAACAATTAGAATAAGTTTTGATTTTCAAGGATAGAGGCAATGGGTGGAAATTAATGCACTACTGCTTTTGTCTGAGAATACTTCAAACACTCAAAACCAAAAACTAAATTCACAATCCACAAATTAGAAACACCAGTTTAGTCTTCAGCAAAAGACTTCTGTGGTGGGGAGCTGAGAAGCAGATTTATCAAGTACGCACATGTATCGGTATCTGAGGTTTAAACAAGGAGACCTTGTCACTAAGTGCTTTCCCTTAATCAAGTTTGTAATTCTGGAGAGTCCACTCTCCCTCCCCAGGGAGTGATACATTTCAGGAGTTTAGATAGAACAACAAAATGCTACTCATAAAGTAAAGTAATACTTTCCGTCTGAATCGAAGAATGACCTTCCCATTGCTTTTCAAAGGGGAAATGTGGTTTAGATATTCAGCTGAAATGGGATGACAGCCAGCATGAATAGAGGAAGAAAAACAAACTGGCATGTACCATGGGAATGGATTCACATTTTAAAAAATGGAAAGTTGAGGGGAAAAAAAAAAAAAGGCATAGGAAGGAAAATACACTCCAAATACCCCGTAAAATCAGAAGAGCTACACGCTTACCAATTCTGAAGGAGATAAGATGAAGAAGGAACACTTAAACTGTAGTGACCCTGCAGGGCACACATTTGGTGACAAGTATCAGTGCTGATGACAGGCATGAGCATAACCTAAAAGCTACAAAATAAATTACTTCTCACTGTATAAGAGAAACACCTGACAAGGCTGTTTCATGTACTGTGGCTGTCTCACCCTCTCTGGCATATGATTAAAAGGGTGACAACCCAAAGGAATATAAAAGCCTCAGATAAATAACCAAAAAGTAACTTTCAGAAAATTGCAGTGATAAAGAAATGCGTGGCAAACAGAACTGAGGAATGCTATTAAAAATATTTTCCTCATAAATGTCCAGTACAAAGAAGCCTCTCCATCTGCAAGGGGAACACCTGTTCCTGGGACCAGTACAAAGCAAAACACAATTCTCTCAGCCTTTCCTTGCAGGAGAGGTGCTCCATTCCTCAAATCATCTTAATGGCCTCCTCTGGACTTGCTACCAGCAGGTTGATGTGCTTCCTGTGCTGGGGACCCCAGAGCTGGATGCAGCACTGCAAGTGGGGTCTCAACACAGCAGAGTAGAAGGACAGAATAACCTTCCTTGACCTGCTGGCTGTGCTGCTTTTGATGCAGCACAGAATACAGTTGGTTTTCTAACCTGATAAAGTTTATTTCCTTCTAGTCTGAAAATGCTATCAGAAATGAAATTCCCACCTCCTCCTCATGTAGACATCAGAGTGACAATTCTCCCACTCTAGTGAAACATGCTTTTTTCTCCCTCTTTTTTCTATAATAAGGATACTGATGACCCTTTCAGCTAAAATTAATTAAATGAACTATGACACTTCTTAACTTGTATGAAAACAAAAATATTTTGTGTGATTTACTTTAATAGACTGGCACAATCTCAAGGCTTAAAGTACTCATTTGTGGATATATATTGCATATTTATTATTCTATTTGGAATATGGATACTAGAACAAAGAAGCAAAACAAGTATACCACTGCCTCTGGTTACTTGTGATACATATCATGTTTGAAATAAGATCTTCATATACAGTATTTCAATACTCTGGATTTCTCTGCAAGGTCTTAATGTGTTATGGTTAATGTTTTTGCATGAGAGCAGTAAAAGCAGGCTAATCAAGACACACCAGGGAAGCAGGAGCTGAGGGTGAATATAGGGCAGGCAGGGCAGTGTCTGTGTTGACCAGGGCACAGTCCCTCTACGCAAACAAGAAAATCAAGAAGGTCTGGTGATGGAAATCAAGGCCAAGAGTATTCCTGCGACTGTCAGAAAAGCCTCTAATGACAAATCCAGATAAATCAGTTGAAGCAAGGAGTCAAGTCAGTGATTCAGGGTTGGGATCAGCAAGGTTCATGGCTGGACACTGGACTACCTCAAGCAAGGACCTGAGCCTAAACATGGCTTCGGAGACAAAGGATGGGTGAAAGATCATGACAATGCTTCTCCCAGCTCTGCCTCACAACTTAGCTCATCTCTCAGCCAATGGCTCCCAGGTTATATGGCTGTACCACATCATAGCTGGTTTTGAGCACAGGCAGCCAAGCCCCAGGGAGAAAGGCTGGGGAATAGGTCACAGGGCCTGTGGTGCACTGCCAGCACTGGCATTTTTTTTCCAACTTGATAATGGTTATAATTTCAGGAATTCTATAAAAAAAAAGGATTACATAGATCTTATGGCAATGGAATTAGATTATTCCATCATAAGTTGTTTGAAAGGATACTAAAAGGGCATCCCCAGTTTCTCATGCTCTTTACAATCTTCTTTCAAACCTTTGCAAAGCCTACTAGTGAAGGAGATGCCTGTTTTCCTCCTAGCATCAGTTAATAGATCATAAACTATTAGCTATAACTTAAAATGTTAATTCCAGTGCCAAAAGTCTGCATGGTAGATTTAAAGGTTTTTCCTTTGATGGAAACATATGGGTAACATGCTGGAAGCACAAAAATATTAAGAGGAATCTAAGACTTCAAAGTCAGTTCCCCAAGAACTAGAAAAAAAAAAAAGGTAGTTTATTCATGCTTCTATTAGAAAACATAAAGGCCAAAGGAAGATAAGCATTCTCAACTATGACATTTTCTACAACTATGACATCTGTCAGCTGTGTGCTCCATTTTTTGGATTTGAAGGGATGTACTGACTCATCTCATTTGGTCCCCTTTTCTCACTGGCAACACCAACAGCTAACCCCTATCAATTAATACAGAAAATAGATTTTTTTGTGTGTGATAATCTTATGGGCAGGTGGTTCCCAATCAACAAGAACCAAAGTGAAAAAACTTTGAACCACTCTGAGGCTCTTGGGTTTTGATTGCTCATTTTTCTGTCTACAAACAGAAACTACTGCAACCCACTGCATCAATATTGTTAAAAGAAAATTTGTAAGCATAAAACAAGATCATGGTGCATATGGTTCTAAAATATCAAATATATCAGGGGATTTAGTTTTAGCTGAAGCTTGCTGATCTTTAGTGCTAACAATCCGTATGTTTTGGCATTTTAGTCAGTGCTTATTGCAGTATATTAGCAATATTTCCTTAATGCCTGTGAAACAGTTATATATATTAAAATTTAGGGCAGTATTTTTCTGAAACTATGTTGATTTATATCAGCTGATTTTTTTCCTTTGTTAGATTACTAGATTCTGTAGTGCAACCTCAAAGTTAAAACATTTTGGTGTACATATTCCAAACATTTTTTTTTAATTAATAGCAACCAAAACTGATGAAAAGTAACACATAACTGAGATTTTTGTTTTGATCTTATTCTCATAAAAAGCGCCAGAGTGTTGAGAAACACACAAATTTTTTTCCAGGTGTTGGCAGTTGTGGGTAGGGCCTCCGCGGAAGAGCCAGGGGCTGTCCTGTATGGACCACAGACAGTTCTAGTCAGCTCTAGCAGGCCCACTGAAGGACGTGTGTGACACATGGCAAAGCAGACAGATATTCCTGAAGGAACTGCATACCTGTGAAAAACCTGCACTGGAGCAGAGGAAAAGTGTGAAGAAGACTCCCATGACTGCCATGTACTGACTTGAGCTGTTTCTTACTACCTGAACCTATTCCAATTGACAATTTTCACCACGTTGAGTCTGTTTTGCAGTTTACAGTAACTGATAAGCAATCTCACTGTCTTTATCTCAAACCACAAGCTTTCTCATCTTGTTTTCTCCCCCTGACCTTCTCAGGAAGGGAGTGAGTAGCTGAGTAGGAGTTTGGTTTTAGTGCAACCACACCAGATTTTACGAATAATTTCAAGTTACTTTAGATTTTGAATCAAAATTAATTTTTGGTGGGTCTTCCCATCACATATTAGTTTCACTGTAAATGTTTCCTTAATCCTTTGCCCACTAATTTTCTGAATTTCCCTTATGCTGTAAGTTAACTGTTAGCTTCAGGGAAATTTTCCTTTTTGTAGTAATTCACAAGTTGGCTATTTCTGGCTAATGTTAATCACAGTGTAAGATTCTGTACTAACACTTAGTTTCTTTTTCTTTTTTATTCTACCTACTGCTTCAAGGCAGAAAAATAAATTTATTCCTCCTATTCTGCAGCTGAAGAGTAAAGTTTAATCCACTTGCTAGTAAGTATTTAATAAACCGTGGTCTATTTTTGTGAAATCTGCACAATATTTTAACTGATTTAAACCATGCAAAAGTACCTAAATAGATAGGACTTGCACATGATTTTGGCTCTATGTACAGTTTTCTGAGACACCTGTATATGATCCCCTTAATATTCAGATCCATTATTCACACACCTTGGGATACCAAAATAGATTTTGCTGAAGTGCATGAAATCTCTATTACCATCCAAGGTCAAAAAGCTATATCCACCTATTTGAAATTATTTTACCACACAGAAAATGAATTGTTAAAACAAAAAGAATACTTTGCAGAAAAGCAATGCCCATTTTTTCTTATGTTTCACAGTAGAAAAAGAAATATCATCTATACCTTTGGGTAGATATGTTATTTACACAAAGTCATTCTTAAAAAAATAAAATCATAACAGATGATTTTCTTTTGCTTTTGTAAGAATCAGTTACTGCATAAACTCTCACTATACAACACTCAAGAAAAACATTAATTCCACAAATAGTCTTTTCTCGGATTAAATAACACAGCTGATGTTCTTTGAATGCACAGTTACCCCTGAAAGATGGAGCCTGAGATCTTGGAGGACAAAAGAGAACACCTCTCTTTTGGAAATTAATTACAGTGAATGTGTCACCTCTTATGATTTGGCAAATACAGGACCAAGAAACATCTGCCAATCATTTGTAGTTTATAGCTGAGTCATGCAAGAAGGGAAGTAAACAAAAATGTTGCATTCTTCAAAGTATTAAATATTTAAAACAGTTTAATGGAAAAGGAGGGAACATAAGGATCATATGCCATAATCAGAGTTTCACTGACACATTTTTACAGTAGAGCATTCTGCCTCTAAAACAGAGAACAACTAGCAGTCATTTGAAGTTCAATATTTTTTACATGTCATTAATAAATCAAAGCTTTGCCTTTAAATATTAAGATGTTATTTATCAAAATAAAGGTTATGGAAGTTGTCAGGTGGACTTTCTTGATGACTCCAATAACCAACCAGGTTTAGAATAAAACAGGAAAAATAGTGAAAAAAAAAAAATCACCTTTTCATTTCACCTCTGAAGGGAGACACTTCCTGGAAATAAACAATGAAAGGATAAGAAGCTAGATGCAATAAGGAAAATTTCAACTGAAAATAAAATGAAAAGAAATGACATAAAGATGGATCAGCACTGGAATGGGAGCCTAGACAGATAATAGAATCTCCAATCCAATGTGGTTCTCAGTAACATGGTCTACTGTCAGGTGGACTTGCCTTGGCAGATATCGAAGTCCTTAAATGTCATGACTTTCTTTTCATAGCAAAACAAGAACATCAGTAACATGCAAAACCAATAACATCTTGACACAGAACAAATTTAACAGCTTTTACCAGTGTTTTACTTGTGGCTGGTCAAATGAATAACCCTTCTGCTTTCCAGAGGCAGAGTATTTCCTAGCACTCCTCTAATGGTGATAGGAATTTAGACACCAAAGTCAGTGTATAGGCACCTAAATACAGACCTGCAAATTTAAATGTCATAAAAATCATCCTACATAGCAGACTTCTATGTCTCAATTAGGTGTTCTGGGCTCCCTTTATAGCACTTGGAAAGAAGCATGAAGTTCAGATGACCCATTACAGATACTTACCTTCACAGCATTTCTTTTAGTCTAAGAAGGGTTTGCTATAGAGTGACTACCAGACACTTGATGAAGATAAATCAACCCAAGTAAAATCCTGGAGCTCATGAGCCCACTAGGCTTCTGAGTGCCTGCAAGTCTGTATGATTAGCTTGGGCTTAGCTAGTAGTTAGTAGAGGTAGATTTCACCTTCATAATATTGAAGTTTTTTAATTTGGAAAGCTCCCACATTCACAGAATTGTATTACGATGAACAGTGCCTTCCTCTCCTATCTACTGGAAAAGAGATGTTACTGATACCTTTAGAATCAAAAAAAGTCGACTGTACCATGCAAGTTCCTTCAGTGTAAACACTTTGCCAAGAAACCAGCCAATGTTTTTGCTCTTTTTTTCCCAAATCTATTTTATTTTGAAAACAAACAAAAAGAAAGACAAACCAAGATAAGAGGAAACATTTTTGATAGATCTGCATTAATAATCGCAAGTAGGCAGATTACATATTGTATGCTACAGGCTTGTTGCATGCTTCAAGCCTACATGTTAAATACCACATGAGCCCAAGTACCTGGACCATTATGACTCCAAAAATCTGCATTTTTCAAAGCAATCAAGTTTTTAGAAGCTAATAGCTGTCTTGCCATTAGGAAAATTCAAAACCAGAGTTCCTGTGCTGTGAAGACATTGCCGGGCACAGAGGAAGAAAAGTTATAAAACTTATGCAACACACTAGATGTGCTGTGAACTAACAGTATAGAACCTGATAATGAGTGTGATTTCCTTTACAGTGTAAGTTAACTTCTATTTTAAATGTTCGTTAACAGAATATAATTTAACTTAGTTTATGCTAAAAAGATTTCTTACATGGAGGTGATGTTGAAATTATACATTTTTAAATTACTGTTCATTATTTCTGCTTAATGCATTTTCCTCAGAGTTAAGATGAACCACATAGAATCCTAAGACAACCTAATAAAGTCAAAAGTAATGCTAGAAATCTCACTTCAGAACCCTTATCTAAATTTTGAACTGACGATCAACAAACCCATTTTTTCAACACAGGTCCTCTCATCTATAACATATTAAGCATCATTCATAACAGAAACCTACCTACAGTATTTTCATAATTAAACCAAAAACAATAGTAATATTTTTGAATAAGTGATAAAGCATCATATGCATGTCCATTCAAATGATTAACAGACATTTATTTATTTATTTAGCAGTCACTTGAAAAAATATACTTTGAGACATATATAACTCACATGTGAAATGAAATACAAATGTGAAACCTGGTCCTCAGACTGTTAAATTAATTGTTTTAAATGTTTCTGCATTGCTGCAGTTTTTTCTGCTTTGAATTTACATTCTAGTCTCTATATATGAAAGGCAAAAGCAGATTTGACAATGGCAACTGCCACCAACCTTTGTTAGTTGTTCCAATCTAAACACACTGAAAACTTTTGTGACTCCAAATCATCTTCCTGCCCTTCATCTCCGAAGTCATATAGTTCAATTAGCTTTGGTGTGACTTACATTAAATCAATATACTTCCATATCATTTTTATGACATTCCAAAAGCTGAAGAGCTGACTTACCATTTTCTTCCAAGTACATCAGAAGGATGCCACTAGATTCAGTACCTTCTACAGCATAATCAAGTGCAATATTTCCATTAACATCTTGCAGAAGCACATTTGCTCCAGCCTATAGGCAAGAATTAAAAGCATTTTAGTATTTTGTAGTGAAATCTCAAAACACAACTGGGGTTCTTACATATTCACATTCAAAAACACTTCAAAGCTGGGGGTCTTAGACAGCAGGCTGATTATAACCTTAAACAAAACCAAACGCATAAAAAAGCAAAGACAAAACAAAGGACTCTTGAATGTCAAAAAGCTGGCTTTGTTTGAGACAGCTGACACTGTTGCCACACTAGCTGTCCAGTCTGCCTTTGCCACAGATGTCTGAGCTGCTCATCAGTGAGTTTTGGAACCACCACCATTTGCAGCACAGCATTTTTAAACAAACTGTCACAGATTACAGTCAAAAGCACTACACAGTAACCAGCAGTGGTTCAAAAGCTGACTGACAAGCAGCACAGACACCCCTGCAGTAGGGATGGGTAGACAGCTGGTACGGGTAACCTTGTCAGCTGGCCCGACCTCTTATGGCCTCATGCATCGATCCAACCTCAAAGAGAACCATCCATTGCCAAATAAAATTGCCATTTGTCACTAACTGGAGACAATGAAAGTGAGCTCAGTGATTTCTGCTGTAGTTCCTAAAGAAGCCAGGCTGAAATTTCTTTATGTTTCATTCAAAATTCAATACAAAGGACAGACAACTAAAAGGAATCATTGAGGGCAGGGGTGGGTGGGAGGAAGAGATTCATGAAAAGCTTGGAAAGAAATCACCAGTATGATAAGAAATCTTATATTTTCTACATTAAATATTGTTAATGTAGAAATTTGCTCTATGAAGAGAAATCCTTTAACTTTTTTTTCTTTAATAAGAAAGCTCTCATACTTGAAAATTCATAAATGTCTGGTAGACATAAAAGTTTACTAGTGTTACATCACTAGAAGTTACAATACCAGCTAAATGTCATTTATCTTCCTTAAGAGGTTATAATATTAATTAAAGTGTCCTCTCTATTGCTTTTAATGGCAAGGAATTATGAAATAGGATTGACCTCAGGTAAATTTAATAACTTTTCCTAACAGCTTGTATGATACAGAGTTTAGTTAATAAAAATGAGAAGTACCAAGGACAGTCTCTCTTAAAACCACAGCAGCAGAGGTCACTGTAATATGAAATTATTAATAGAATGTATGACTGCTTCTTCCTGGAGCTTGCTCTGCAAGTATTGTATCAAAAAAGCCCTTGCAATGGGCTCCTGACTCCTGCACTCTGAGCTCCTGGCTCAGAGTGAAACACGACATGAAACACTAGCAAATTCATGTAGGCCTTATGTCATCAAATTTAAGGTTAAGTCTGAGGTGATTTCCTGAGTTTGCATCATAGTGACAAGGTGACAGACAGGAATCAAAAATGACTCACCTCAGTTGTCTCAAACTCCTCAGATACCCCACTAGACCATATCATGTGCAGCAAAATAATCTATCCTGCTACTAAACACACTACATTCTTCTAGTTTTCCCTTGTTGTTGACTGTAAGGGAAGCCTAGACAGCAAATATAAATTATACATATATCTTCTGAATTGCTAAATAAGATTAGATGAGAGGATTTGACTCTTAGTAAAAAGGAATGAAAGGAGACTTGCAAGTGTAAAATCTTACATTCATTACAGTGCTATGAAAATAAATTTCTACTTCCCTGTCCTGCCAGATAAAATCAAAAAATGATAAAAAATCAAACAAACAGTGGATTTGAAGATCACAGGATCTTTGAAAGATGGTTTAACAACTACTTATTGCACTTGTTCCACTACTAGGGCATATGATTTTTGTTTGGGTTTTTTTCCACGCACAGATCAGTGAGAGTTTGCTGGTGATGGTAGAATTATGGAAGAAATATAACTTCATATCTAGTTGATTTGCAGATAATAAAAAACCCACAAAGTCGTACAGGTATCTACTCTTTGTGGTATATAGATAATCTCCAGGCAATGCTAGAAGAACATTTTTTTCCTTGTTGAGTTTAGAAACCAAATGACCTTTGACATATCAAATTCAGGAAAAGGGGGATAATTATCTTGGTCAGCAGCACACTTTAAACTCCTCTCTAAGATGTAATATCACTGAAAGAAGGACTTCACGTGGAATTACTCAGCTCCAAGTAATTTTTATTGAGTAGTTCCATATTAATTCCTTTCTTAAGAAATGTTCAAAATGATCCCAAACAGAAGGTCAAGTTTGGTGAAAGTTATGGCAGAAGAAGTAAGAGAAGGTCTCAGAATTCAGGTAAAGAAGCAATTCTAGATAACAATGTACACCTAATCTTGCTTAAAAAAGAAATATTTTGTAGTTTTTAATAATACGCATTTTTAGCATGGTGTATCATCCCTGCCTCACAGCTTTATATCATCTATTAGCTTACACCCTTACAGAGGGTGTGCTCTGTCTCACTCTCCAGCTCACTGTCCATTAATGAAGACCTTGAACAGGACTGGACCCACTATTAACCAGTGAGGTACACAACTAGTTTGGAACATGTTGCAGGTAGCAAATAGCACAGATACTGCATCTTCAGTTTAAATTCAGATGGCCAGAACTGTGTTAATGAACTTAAGTGCTTTTGTTATACATATGACCTCTTAGGCCAGACAATAAGAAACCTACATATGATTGAAGTTGAGCAAAGGCCTAAAGAATTAATTTAGAATGCTTAGTTAAAGATAGAAGCTAGATCTTAGGAATTTTAAAGGATGGTACCTTGCATGCTACACACCCAGATAAGAACACAAGCAAAGAGATAGAACAGGAACACAAGGAGATAAGGGGTGAAATAGGAGCATGAGACCAAAATCTTGCAAAATTCACCATCAGGAAATCAGCCAACTAAGAAAGGTAAGAAGTTCAAGTGAGGAAGAAGAGTAACATATGACCCCCTGAGGATGAAGAAACAGGAACAACCACCAGAACAGCACCTCAAAAGAGGGCTCCACCCCAGACTCAGTCCAGGCCCTGCCTGTTATGAGTTATGATTAGATGTTGCAATTGTATGAATATGCATGTAAAGATGTTGAAATCTCTCACCAAAACTGTATAAATTACCTGACTTTTCAATGATAACTTTGGGCTAGTTTTGTCCAGTGCAAGTTGGTTAGCCCCCAACGTTGCTTAAAGACTCAAAACTGTCTCTGAGCAGTTTCATTGTGCCTTTTGGGCATCATGATTGGAGATGGAATTCAAATTATCTGAATATAGTCCTACTTTGTTCTTAGGTTTCTGTTTATAGCTTTTGAAGAAAATATGAGGAAAACTGTTCCCAGGCTGCAGATATTAGTTTCCAAATTTACATGCATGGCTTGTTACATATTTATTTCATTTCAATACAACTCAACTTGAATTCTGCATGCAGTGCTCAATATATCTGAAAAGTTACTGTCTTACTATTTCTCAACACATCCTCATTCTCAAGTCATTTCTCAATAAAAATGATAAATACATTGCAAAACTTTATCCAATATATCTCAGAAATATAAAAAATACTTTTGTGAAAAACATTTCTCTGCAATGATAAATTCTATTTTAGATAGATTCTATTTTAGGAAGACTGCAGAAGGAAGGTCTTTAAATATATTATTTTTAAATGTTCCTAAAGACACCTAGGTCAATACACAGAATGCAAAATGCAACTGGACTGCATGCTGTACCATGCAGAACAATATCGATATCTAGATACAGCATAAGAGATTGAACTCTAGTGATCAATAATAACTGAGTGGACAGTATCAGATTTGCAAAGTATCCCCATGCGATCAGAAATCTGAGCCTGTTGACAAAGAGAAAATATCTTTAGCTAGTAGAAGGAGAAAATATTTCCTTTCTAGTTCCAGAAATGATGATTCAAAATGATACAATTTATCTCAGAATCACTTTAGTATGCAATTTTTAATCTTGTTTTAATTTTCATGTATGCAAAACATGTATGCAAAAGTGATGAGCCTAAAAGCTTGGTAAAGGGCTCAGGAGCAATATAGCATGAGGTAGGCTAAAGGTGCACAGTTTCACAGTACTGATTTATATGCATACTCACATTTTTTGCCAGCATGATGCAGTTTGAGATAACTTCCCGTTCAGTGGAAGAGAGATGAACAATTACTGATTCACTGCAGAGTACACAACACAACGTACGTTCCCACTGTAACTTATCCCATGATCACATCTTTGTATAGCTAAACTCGTAACTAATTTAGGACAGTACAGAGATGACCACTGCTTTTGCAAAAGAGGATGCAGTAAGACTGAACTCTTACTTCCAAAATAATATTGCAGAAGATGGGGAAAGAACTAAATAGCTTCTGAAGTCTAAGTACTACCAGAAATTTTGATTTGCAAGAACTTACAAAAACTTCATCACATGTGAACAGACTGTGAGCACAGCCAGAGTGCTTCACCACACTCTGTCCCTATACAAGCTATCCCTTGTCACTTGGCCCAAGCACCAAAGTACAGACAGAAACTCTTAAGACTATGTTGCTGTAGCTAAACGCAGTGGATCAACATCCAAGTTCCCTTTGGTAAGATAAAAGTTCAGTTTAGTTCATAGTCTACATTTACAAAGCCTAATTAGTGATACTATTAGCTCACAAGCAATTTATTTTTAATTTTCTCCATCAAACTTTTTTTAAGAATTAATTAAATTCTAAAAATCAATTTAACATGCACAGGGGCAAACCTTTTACTGAATGTTTAATTTTTTAAAAGGTCTTAAAACTTCCTTCTGTGCTATTTATTATCTTGCTAATAATCTTTCTTATTTCCAGTGTTTCTTATACATCTTATCTCATGATTCCCAAATGGGAAATATATCTACTTACCATTACTCAGAAAAAGAACAAGGGCAGAGAAATCCCCATTCTGAAGAATGTCCTTATTTACAGATTTAAAACTTCCTGTCTCTCTGAAGTCCACAATATTTTGTTTATCAGCAATCTAATTTCATCAGGGTAGGTGAAAACCATATGACGAGCTGCGGGTTTAGACCTTCTCCAGTCATCTCCAACCATCTGCTATAATCAGGGATAGAGTTCTAACCACTAGATGTATGTCCAGAAATATAACTCTATCACAACAGTATGGATTGCAGTATAATCTGATTTAGGCATCCTTAGATGACTCCTAAATTACTGAGGTTCCCCAAGCACTTGGGAAGGATTTGGACATTTCTCCGCCTGGGTACCACCTCTCACTTAGCTGCCCAGCTAGGATGTTACATTTTTTGCACCCATGGAACTCTGTGGTCAGATGGGTTACCTGGCTGAACTGCTTTCTGAACCAGAGTCCACATCAATCCACTTTAGGTGAAAGATGAGAATGCTCCTGAAAGTCTGACTATGATTCATTGAAATTCAAGCTTAAAATCCTGTCTTCCGTTGCCTGCCTTAAATTATTCTTTCAAACTTGTGGACCATGCAAGTTATTTAAATATTTGAAATAAGTAATTTAGCTTTATTTATTTAGTAGAAAGTCACAGGTGTGTTATATTTTTCAGTACAGAAGTGATGACCCAGCATGTGCCTCTGTCACTTAGGATTACCACCACTGTCTTCATGAGGCTTTATGAAGGTGATCAGAAATACCCTGAGGAATATGTGTGGATACAAAAAAAAAAAGGAAGGACAGAAGCAGAAAAAAGTATTAATATACCTGTTGAGTTTTCTCCTAGAAACAGGCTTCTGCACAGTTTTTACTACGGTTTAATTGTTCCACAGTATGCTAGCTGTGTGCAATTTGTGTAGTCACCTATCAACCCCACCACAAAACCTGACTTTTTATATGTATTTATATTAGTAGTCTATTTTTATTCAATTCCACATACTCCATATGCATATAATTCTATACATTTATATGTATGCAAATATAAAAACATTTACATAGTATTCTCTCTCCTATTTCATCACTTTCCTGCAGGGGAAGTGTTTTTTCACTAACAGCTTGAACAATTCATTTTTTCTCATTTTTAAAAAATATAACCACATGATTTACAACCTGTTCCTTTTTATAAAAAGGCATTAACCATGAAAGTAGAATAAGATTAAATGCAGTTCTTCACTAAACATTTGTGGCATTTCACTTTCTTTGACATGAGTAGTTAAGTTTTCCCCCTTCATTGACCTACTTCTTTGCATTAATTCCATTAAAAGGTTTTGCACCCTGAAGGATATCCAAGGTTTACATACACCCACCTGCATGTTCTCATGTACACTAAAGTTACAGTGCAAATAGTACATCCTTTCAAAAGTCCTTAGTACGCTATCAGCTAAAACGAAAGCAACAGTAATCAGGACACAATACTTTATTTTTTTTTTAGAACAAGGAAATGTACATGAAATCACTCAGACTCATGGGTTCCACGGTGTCATGTGATCTTGTTTTCCAACCTCAGTGGCTTGCGTAAATTTTCATTCAAGATACC